TGCCGTAACCAAGAAAAGAAGTGCGTAGCCTGTGGCGACCCTCACTCCTCTGCCGACAAGCTATGTCCCACGTGGCGGGAACAATGCAAGGTAGCCAAGGTTAGACATGACAAGAATAACAGAAAAGACACAAGTACAAGCTGCCCCTGTTGCCCCTGCAGACCAACAACTCACAACGTCCGACTTCTTCCACTTCTGCGAGCAACCTGAACACGAAGAACAAGAACAAGACACTCGTGAAAGGACAGTTCAAGAAAAGGAAAAAAAAAAGAAGAGGAAGAGAATATCTTCGTCTTTAGTATAACAAGACACATAGCAGATCGCCCGTCAGAAACCAGCAATAACACCAAGAAACACACAAGAGATCAAGCCGACCTGAATAAAAAAAAATAACGGTTACTCAACACAACTCCGGTCCTCGCCCCTCTGCTGCCAAGCCAGGTCATCCACCAATCATTGCACAGCTGGCTCCCCCTCACGCAAGCGGTGTTTAAGCCACTGCATCTTTCCTCTCCTCCTAAAATTCACTTCCATCCTCTCTTATCCTTCCCTTGAACCTTCTTCCTCCCTGTCACTAGCCATTGATTGATTGAGCTGTGAAGGTCAGACAACACCAAGCTCTTAAGCAGAGAGGACCTCCTCTAAAGAAACTCCTCCACAGCAACCCCTCTACCAAGCAGCAACTTCCCAACACCATAAGAATATCTTAATATTACCATTTCACAAAAATTTCTCACACATTCCTGCACAGCTAAAAACCTGGAACGTCAATGTGGCATTTAAAAACTCATGCACTGTTAAACAAATGTTAATCAAGAACTCCCCCAACAACACAATTGGTTGCATTTATAAAGTTCCTTGCAAGGAATGTAATATGTTTTACTTAGGCCAGACAGGTAAAGATCTTGCAACTAGAATTAAACAACACAAATACAGTGTTAGGACAGGCCAGGAATCCAATGCTCTGTTTGTTCATTTGAGGGATAACAAGCATTGCATTGACTGGGATAATGCCTCCTCAATATTACCATGTAAGTCAATTGACAGTAGGAACATCATAGAATCTAGTCTTATTAAACATACCGAAGCATTCAACATGAATTTGAGTAACGGCATGTACAAGCTGGACAATTTTGTAATTAAGAAGATTTGTGATCAGGTGAGAAGGCCGGGTCACTTGACCATCTGACCTGACCACCAACCGTTGTGTGCTATTTAAAGATTAGTAGGGTCATTACCTAATACCTGACCATTGTGGACCTGGTCTCACCCTCCTCTGTATATATACACCTTGATTTGTATTACTCTCTCTAGTCTGTACTCACCCCTGAAGATGTGAATTACACGAAAGCGCTTGGGAACTTCGTGTTTTCTTCTTTCCTTGTGGTTATCAGCATATATATATATATATATATATATATATATATATATATATATATATATATATATATATATATATATATATATATATATATATATATATATATATATATATATATATATATATATATATAGAAAACGCCATTGTGAGTTTCCTTTCTTAACTCCATCTAGTACGAGATCTCCTACATGTACAGTCAAAGACAAAAGTCGTGTCGTGAAATTTGGTGAAAGCATATGGCCATATGCCGAAGGGCTAAAACTTTTGGTGCGCTCTGCCTTGTAGTAGGGCTCTCATTGTTTCATGAGTTATACAGGTATTTAATCTTCGGTCAAAACCGCGACACGACTTTTGTCTTTGACTGTACGTATTTATGTGAGCCTAACAAAGAGAAATTAGACAACTGGCCACATACATTACCCTGTTGTATGATATCACGCGATGCTCAAATTGGCTCACTAGTGACTTTATAACATATTAAAGGCTCTGTAGTCGAGGATGACATATAGAGCTGCCCAGTACTTTCCAGACTTCTCTCGAAGGTCAACCCGTCTAAGGAACTCGACTATTTAACTGTGCAGTGAGAAGTTATTTTGTTAAGGTTTGATGTGTGGGCCCGTCAAGAATGCCTGAAAACTGGCGTCTGGTTGCGATGAATGATAACCTTAATGTGACATTATATAAAATCATGAGACTTTTAGGTGCCAAGAAATCTCCATTACATTAAACTTTAAAGATTGTCTCGAAAGCAAATAATAGAAAAAAAATCTGGAATAGAAATATTATATACCCGCAAATTTTCAATCTCCGCTGTGTGTTGGATTTACAGAGCCAGTTTAGCAGGTTACGTGTATCAATTGAAACTACAGTAAGGATGCTTGAAAACTCGCACCCTTGAGCATATGCAGGCTACAAGCTAAGGAGGCCAGATAATTGGCCAGCCTCCTTGTTCACCTGTTTCGTCACACTTTCCCACCAACACCACCGCTGAGCTGCTGACCTACTTTTTTTTTTTTGGGAATAAGCCCACCCAGGCAAAGGTCGTCTGGAAAGCCCGCAACCCAGGGGGCCTGGGGGCGAAAAAATAAATAAAAAGGGAAATAAAAATAGAAAAAAGAAAAAAATTATTTTAACCTACAACACGAAGATGCCGGAAAACTAACTTTTGAAGTGGAAACATTGTATGGTATGGAAATATAGAAAGAAGGCAAGGCATTTCACGTTTGGCTGTGTGAGGAAGAAGGATGTACTATAACGGGTTATTCTAGTGTGACCGACATTCTACAGAATCAGTGGGCACCTCAGGCAAAAAGTGTTGCAGGCAAAAGGCCTTGCAGGCGGTACACAGGATGCCAAATCCACCGAACATTGCCCGTTAAGTACCGTAAAAAGAAAGTGAAAGCAACATCACTTGGCAAAGAAAAGATTATCAACTAAAGAGGAGAAATTAATAAGACGAAATTCCTTTGATTCCAACCTATCTAACAGTTGGACCAGAAGAGCCACCCCAGATATAGAGAGCAGTACTCCAAAGTTGGGACGAATGAATCCACTTATATCATGAAGCAACTGCTCAGGGTAAAATGGCTTCTACAGCATCCATGGCATTCCCAGCTTTTAGAGGAGACAGCTTTAGCAATGTTGTGGATAATGTGGCTTCCACTGACACTATTAGAGAAATGGTGAAACTAGCATATCTATTTTATAATTTGGCAAATGATTGCGTCCTGAAATGTGATTGGTGGGAGATCATCTAATTTGGAAAGTGTAATTGGTAAATACTGAGTTTCATTACTATTGAATTTAACCAAGTTTCTACCTCCCCATTCGGAGATAGTGCACAGATCCGCATTGATAGATGTAATGATATCAGCTCTAGAAACAGATCTAATTTGAGAATTAGGAGAAAGGGGAAAATGTGAAGATGAGTAGAATCATCAGCGTAAGAATGGATAGTACTAGTCGTAGTGTGAAGAAAGAAGGTGAAAGAACAGAACCCTGTGGAACACTATGGATCGGTTCTCAAGGAAGCTAGAAATTAAAGAACAAAGTGGGGTAGATAAACCATAAGAGGAAGTTTAGAAAGCAAGATTTATGCCATACCCTGTCAAATGCTTTGAAGATGTCGAGGGCCACGACGAAAGTTTCCCCATAATCCCTAAGAGAGGATGACCAAAGATGGGTGCAGTAGGAGAGCAGATCACCAGTAGATCTCGCCTGGCGAAAGCCATACTGGTGATCCGACAAAAGAGAATGGCGTCTCTACCATCACGAACTAAATCCCAATACAGTATTAGTAACACAGCCCCAACTGGACTAATTTTTTTCTTATTAATGTTTTGTTTTTTGTATCATCTTGCTTACATTATTATCTTTATCTTTGTTCACATGTAAAATTCCCTTACCTTTATTTGTGTACTATAGTTTTATCTTAAACTTACACTTTTATTAACTATAAATTTTGTGTTGTCTGTTCAGGTACATACAGTAAATACAGCATCATTATTACTTCTGTTCTCAAATACGTAATCCCACCTGACATTAAAACTCTAGCGTTAAAACTGTTTTTTTAGAATCAGTCGGGCAATTTTAAGCTACGGTCGTGAATCAGAATTAGGCTAGCCAGACGTCCTGCTTTAGGCAGGACAGTCCTGCTTTTGAGCACTCTGTCCTCCGTCCTGCGCCACCTCAAGCAGGACGTTAATTTGTCCTTCTCTTTTGGGCCTGTCTAAAAAGAATTATATAAATTACCTTACGTATACTAAAACAGTGGGAACCGAAGGCCACAATAACAAATGACGTATTTTTATTTTTATTTTATGTAGTTGCCGTCGGCAACACTACGCGCGGAGCCGCAGTGCGCGTGTTACGAGACGAGTCAAGTTATCAATCAAATACACGTCGGAGTAAAAATGAATATTCATTTCTTTCAGTTCTTTATTTATACCGTATGAATGCATGTATCATGTATGTAACATATACAGAGCGTTTAAAAAAATTTAAATGTTAGAAAAACCACAAAATAGCCTTCATTACATTATATTGATATTTGACAAATCATCACTTCTAAGTATATTCTGTATATTTTATACAACTTTTTATATTTCAACTCATCATTAAACATGTTTAATTTAGGTTACAAATAAGTGTCGTAAAAATTTAAAAAATGTCCTCCGTTTTGGAAATGGCCACCCTAGCTCCTAGTGATACATTGTGGAAACTGTACAATAGAGGCTGTGACTGCCCTCCTTGAAGCCGCGGTGGATCACAGAGTCGGTACAGTACACTGGTCTGGAATAATGGTGCTGTACAAAGTTCATCACAAACACTCATCATTAAAATATTCATAGAGGAAAGACGACCAGGGGAAAGGAAATTGTTTATCCTTTTTCTATTGTTAATCATCATAATGCTTTACTTCGAATTTTGCGTTTAGTACAAACCCGCCAAACCAATCCACAAGCAGGAGCAATACGTCATCTGAGTGCATACAGTACAGGGGTGTTGTAAATATTGGCCAACTGTTCATCAGGAAAATACAATGTACAGTTACTTACATTTACCCACAAAGATCCACTCATGGCACCATATTATCATCACAGTGCAGGAGAACAACATGAAGAGCAAAACCACAACAGCAGTGATGGTACAAGTTTTGTCCAGCGACTTAGCGAGGCTGAACACCTTGTTAGTGTGGGCGCCAAGAGGACCCTCCAGGCCACAGTGGAGCCAATACTCAGCAGGAGGTGTGATGCTGGACGCATATATAAGGTGCGAAGGGGATGTGGACCAGCACAGCCAACACTACACCAGCAACAGTCATGGTAAGTTTGGCCATGTTCTTGCTGTGTCACCTTTCTTTACCTGACCTGACCTGACCTGACCTGACCTGGCAGTCATTGCCAGTCTCTCCGGGTGATTCTGTTTTATCCCTAACTGAGTTTTATCCCAAAATTGAAATATCGTGTCTTGCTCTATAGTTAACGTACACACTGACAGAACAGTTCTTTAAAAACTTAACAAATTTCTTTGATACTGTAGTTAGTTGACATTATTATTAGTATAGTCTGTTATTTGTCTGTCATCAGAGGAAGCCTCATGTGACTTGTATTTGTTTTTCTTCCAGAATTATTTACGTTTCATAAGTTAGTATCAATAAGGTTTATAAGCATTCCTCTAGTGAAGTACTGTATTTGTTATTAAAATTTATTTTCATTCCGCTAGCGAAGACTGTTAAGTGAGAACTATTTGCGTTTCACAGGTGAAGGAACTGATATTTTTGTTAAGCTGACATTTATCATGGGAAGTAATGTATTTGTAAAGTTTATTAATGTTTTCCATACAAAACACTGAGTTTACACATTACCTGGCTCAGGATCGTGTGTGGTGCGTCTTGTGGGTTGGGGTGGTGACGGTGGCTGGTACTGGGGGTCGAGTGATGCCACTTCTTCAGGAGCTGGAGGCCTCAGACGGGTGTGGGCCTAACCCTCTCACCGTGGTTGTCGCCGCTGGCAACGACCTGGGTACGTAAGCATGCAAAATTATGAGTCAAGGGCGGATCCAGGGGGGGGGGGGGGACCGAACCCCCTTTTCCCCAGAAAATTCCAGTACTTTTTCTTTAATGCAGTATTGTACTCATGCATTTGTGTATAGTAAAAAGTATTTACTATTAACTTGAGAATATCTCCCAATATCAAGTACACATGGCTCCAAAATGGGCTCAAAATGACCATGATATTGGTCAGATTTAAAAAATAAAAATAAATCTGACAGCATCCCCACAAAACCCCAGTTGGGTGGACTCGCTGTGCTCGCCATGTTTCCCCACCCACAACTTCTTGGACCCCCCTCCCCCTTTAACATTCCTGGATCCGCCTTTGTGAGTGTATATTAACATCAATGCTAATATCTCACAACTAATAGTCACTAACGTCTTTTAACGCTCCAAAAAAGTTTGCCCTGACAATTTTCTGAACCTGTGGCTTCTTCAAACTTAAGCTGTACACCCTAATAGGACGGCCGTCCGCTAAATAAAATATTGTATTGTAAACTAAGGAAATCTATTGAGCCGTCTGCTGTAGGTCACCTGGAAGCGGTTGAGGTTATGGCAGTATTAGAGTCGGACCCGGAGACTTGGGGGGAGTTCCTCGCCCTCATCCACGCTTACGATGATTGTGTCCGCACCGGCCAGCTCAGGTTCGTCCACACCTGCCTTCACAATTCGTTACAACCCCCACATACAGTACATCAATGCTCGCTTACAACTTCAATATATATCTTCATCATTGTTTACAACCTCCACACACCCATCTCCATACACAGAACTCGTATGCTCATAACTCCTATACTTGTTTCCACATTTGCCTATCTAGACAACAACTTATCTTGTAAGCTATCTTTGTACAGTATTGTTATCAGTACTCGCCATATTGATCAGCTTAACTGTAAGTGAAAATATTTTTACATCAATGATTAATTCTAAATCATATGGGATTTCAAGATAAACCAAAGGTCCCTGAGACAATAATTGTTCATTCAGATTCTATCGTACACTACTCTTTCCCCCTGAACTATACTTGCGCCCAGTACAACCCAAGGCTTGAAATACACGAGGTTTCAATATACAAGTAGTGTAGAAATATTTTATGAGGAATTTTGTCATATAATAAAAAAATATACCTTTTCGAGTTTATTCGGCGTATTGATAACATATTCCAAGCACTCCAAGAGTCTTCTTCCTTATTTACTCTTTACTCTGAACCTTGTATTTTTATCCACTTTACAAGTACAATCTGTGGAACAAACATGCAACAGAAAACCTGAATGGGTTTCGTCTTCTGCAATATAATTTCATTTTTGCACTTTCTATACATTATTAACTTCAATCTACACTAAACAAGTTGTTATGCCTTACCATACGATATTAGGGTGAGCTTTGATTGATGTCACCTGATGTGTTCAAGGGAAAAAGAGTGTTTGGTTCTCATCAGTTTTATCTTTACACAGTAATCAAAATATCAAAACTAAACTTGTTCCTGTAGAATGCTCTTAGATACCTGTATATTATTAAGGAACATGTTCCAGTAACGTCAGTACATCACACAATGGTTAAAGGCGCATTAACTTGAAATTCCTAGTGATGAACATAATCCTAAGGTTTGCTGATATTTATTTTTTCACCAGATTCAAACGTATGGCACCACCACCATTAAGGAGGTCAGCGTCTCTGGCAGGTCCCGCAGCCCTGAGGCTCCACAACGCCTCTAAGTCTACCAGTAGTGATCTTTCTGCCCAGCCCAGGTCGTCCTTCTCCCAGCAGCACCTACTGTACCGCCTTCTGCAGCACCAGGACCCACCATCACGCTCCCTCGACCACCACCGCCACATCCAGGCCTGAGGTTCATACATCCTATCTATATGACGCACTGATGACAGAACCACACCATTTGATCCACACACCCACGCTGCCAACCCATTTCTTGCATATAATTCATACTGACAACCCAACTCTTCCCCCATACCTATACACTATTCACCTAACACCTGTCCCAAAGCCACCTCATATCATATAAATTACCAGCAACACATCACAGTACCTAGATGCTAAAGTAATGAAGGTTTGCTTTAATCGACAGGTGTTGATAAGTGTATATACCCCTAACAATACGCCCCACCATTGATGTTATACGTAATGAAGAACAAGCTGGTAAATGTCCCCACAAGCCACCCACCCACTGTACACCTGTCACCGCTTTACTAACAGTTTAGTGTTAACATTTGCTCCAAAAATAAATGCTCATGCGAATGTTCCTAGTTTCAATGATCCACAGAAGAATATTAGGTTGATGCTAGTGGCAAGATAAGATAGCATATGGAAAATAAAGATATCGGTAGGTAAACATCTAAAGAGGAAAGCAGTATGACGCAAAAGTGAGGATATAGTAGCCTATACCTTTTATTAAGCTCTGCATTACGTTATAAGAAAGCTGTATGCCATTTAGAATTCATTAAAAAAGAATAATAGATGATACGTTACGATATCTGCAAAAAACACTGCACTTATACAGGGTAATTAAATTCAGCTTTCTGTTAGGAGTTTAATCTTTCCGGTGGGTGTTGACGCCAAACTTTCAGTGCACCCAACCTTCCGGATACCGTAAGGTTCAAACTTAAATTATTATTTTTTGTCACAAAAAGGTGCAGAAACACTGTTTAAAAATATCAGATACAATATTAACATTCAAGTTTACACTAATCATATTTGTTTAACTCCTTTAGAACAAAGTCCTCTGTTACCGCGTGGATTTCAACACTATCTGGAGTGATACCTTTCTTTCTGCATTGGGATTTAAAAGCTTCTGATCCCTCACTGTAATTGTTTGAGGCTATCGGCAGTTTTTCAACTAAAGACGAAGCAACTTTTGTATAAAATGAATTTAAGTGGTTTTGCAACTTCAGGTGCGTCGTGGCATTGATGTGATGTTTAACACTACATTTGAACGTTCTTTTGGTTTGTTGTGTCCAATGGTTTTAAGTTGCTTCCATACCTTGAGTTATTTTTATTTTCCTCAGTCATATTGTTTAAATATCTTCTTTTTTTTTTTTTTACTCGCTTTACATCTCTCTCTCTACTTTGTTTCTTCGGCCAACAAGAATGACCCCAACGGACTAACTTGACTGATTTTGTCTTGGTTATTACATTTTATATGATCTAATGTGGTGGATGAAGACTTTGTATCAGGGTTGGTGAATTGAATGTTTAAGGCCGTACACTGCATATCTAAGATTTGCTTATATTTCTTATGCACACTGCAGGGCGGATCCAGGGGGAGGGGGGGGGGGGTTCACGGGGACCGGACCCTCCCCTTTCATCATTAAATTACAAAAAAAATTTCTTCAATGCAGTATTGTACTCAGGCATTTTTGTAGTCAAAAATAATTACTAATGACTTCAGAAAATCTCCTAATATTCAGTGCACGTGGCTTTAAAATGGCCTCAAAATGTCCATACTTTTGGCTCGCTGTGCTTGCCATGTTTCCCCACACACAATTCTTGGAACCCTCCATTTTTTTATATTCCTGGATCCGCCCCTGTGTAATTGTTTTCTTCTCGTTTAAAACTAATATTACAGTCACCATGTATTATTGTTTCACAGTCGGTCCTAATAATTTATAAAATTTGGGCAAAATGATCAACAAACTGATTATAATTATCGTTACCTTACCTTGTGCCTTGTAACGATTTCGACCTAACGATCTCAGCTACAGGAACTGCCGCTGTATCTTCCTGACTGCCTCATATAGTGTGGGATCAACGTGGCCAACGTGTTGTAGTGTGTCCATGTATGATATGATGGCAGTGAGGGTGTGTCGTCGAACTTCTGTATAAGGGCGTCGAGTTTCCTCTTGAATGCCTCAGTTGCAAAGGCTGACATGTTTTTGAGGTATGGGCATGAAACAATCACTGGGGATTTTTTCTAACCTAGCGACACTTACTGACACGAATTACGAACCAAATTTATTATTATTATTATTATTATTATTATTATTATTATTAGTAGTAGTAGTAGTATTGTAACAGGGGAAGTGGATACCAGCGAAGTAAATAAGATTCGTAGGTCCATTACGACAGATCGACAGCACTGCCAAAATGAAAAGTTGCAGCAACGATTGCTGCAGGTTCCAGAAATTTGGAAAAAAAAAGTAGCTATAACGCAGGTGGGCGCCTCGAACTGGTTAACTACGTTACCGATAGGGGCAAATGGTTTCAGTCTTAATAAACAAGAATTTACAGATGCCATTGCTCTAAGGTACGGTTGGCCAGTAGAAGGTTTGCCCTCCCAATGCGTGTGTGGCTCTTCCTATGATGGCGATCACGTCATGGTCTGCAAGAAGGGGGGGCTTCATATGCACGAGGCATGACGAGGTAAGGGATCTCACAGCAAATATGTTGAAGGAAATCTGCCGGGACGTCATGGTAGAACCGACCCTCCTTCCATTGGTTGGCGAGATCTTCCAACACAGGACTTCAAACACATCTAACGAAGCCCGCGTGGACGTCAGTGCTCGAGGATTCTGGACGCGGGGACAGCGAGCTTTCTTCGACATCAGGATTTTTGATCCCATGGCCGCATGTCACCGTAACCTAGCTCTCGATGCTGCACATAGGAGGAACGAGAACGACAAGAGAAGGGCATATGGGGAGAGAATTCAAAACGTTGATCAAGGCAGCTTCACTCCTCTAGTGTTCACAACCTCTGGTGGGATGGGCCCAAGTGCAAGATGTTTCTACGCCAGACTCGCGGAGTTGATCTCCGAACAGAAGCAGCAGCCCAGAAGTTATGTTACAGCCTGAGTGAGATGTCGACTGTCCTTCTCTCTCCTTCGGTCGGCTTTGCTTTGCCTCAGGGGAACGAGAGCTTCTGCCCCTACTCCGACAACTGCTGCAGATATTGACTATGAGGCAACAGTCACTGAATGCCGCATAGATCTGCGGCTCAACTAATTTAACACAGATAGGATAGCTTCTTATGTATTAGGATATTTAATATTAAGGTAAATAAATGGTGGCGAAGGTGTGGCTATTGGGGGAGGCTGGAGGCCACGTTGTTTAAAAAAAAAAAAAAAGTAGTAGTATTGTAGTACTGTAGTAGTAGTAGTGTATATCCCTTGGCTATTATATGTGATGGGTGGCCTGCTAAGGATAGTAATGAGGGTAGGGTTGGCTAAGAGAGACGAAAAGAGGGACAGGCTGGACTGGCTAGGAGAGGCATAAGAGGGGGTCAGGCTGACTTGGAGAGGAATGACAGGAGGGAGAGTGGCTGGCTAGGAGAGGCATGAGAGGAGGGACGGACGGGCTGGCTAAGAGTAAGTTCAGCAGTCATCTCCGTCACGGCCATTACCGCCACACTCACGCTCTGGAGACTTTTTTTTTTTTAAGCCGTCGTAGTCTCGTAATGAGCAGTATGTGTCGTCCTCCTGGGTAATAAACATAACAATGTCGCGAACTAAGAAAACACAAATCTACCTGATCAATGAACTACCTGTAATAAAAAATATTGTACAGACGAACAAGGAGTCTAAATTGGGCGATGGACGGTCCATCTTTAATGTACTGTGTGAATCATTGGAAGTGTGAGAGTTTCGAGTTTGTCTGTAGATGTGCGAATGAGTGGATTTTGTTTAAGTTGTACATTAAAAATTCCCGTATATTTTCCTGTCTCGCTCGGAGGTAGCTCGCGCTGTGTCAGGGATCAGGGGATGATATCCACGAAGGCCCGTGGTAGCATCAGCGCTAAACTTATGAATGTTACATTTTTGTTCTGCACGTAACTACAGAGTAGATATTTATTTAAGGTTATAAGCAAAGGCTCCTGACAAACTTGCCAACTTTTAGTTGTACCGAAAGTTAAATTGAATAAGTTATATGACTTTGTGAACTGAACAAAATATTTGTAAATTCGTCTATATATAACGAGTGAGTAATAGGAAAAATATATTTTCCTTTTCCCTGTGGATGGCCAGGCGCGAGTCATTGTGTTTATCATCTCTTAAGTGTTGTTTGTCCTGAAAGTGAATAAAGAGGCAAGTCTTCCCTCCGTCGACATGTTTTATAATAATAGTAACCTCAAGTAACACCGAGTCGTTCTCACGTATATGTCGTAACGGCGTGACCAGGTCGTCGCTCGGGTAAGTTCCTCCTTCCGTGGACGCCTCACACAACACACCTCCCGTAACGGTCATCCTTCCGGTGAAACTCACGATCCGGGGCGTTGGACACAGAAATTCCTTCTTCGTCCGATGCGTCATAATGACGCTTGGTGTCCTGGTAGTGGTGATGCGTCGCCATGATGAGAAAACAACCAGTAATTGCCTCCATCGTGTGTAGGGAAGACCAGAGGAGAGGAGGAGAAAGGTCAGGTGATTGTGGGAGGTGGAGGCGATAGGAATGTAAGAGAAGGGAAGAGCTTTGTACATATAGGACAAGAATTGAGGAAAATAGAAAGCCAAATGTTTACAGACACTTAAGGATGAGTGCTTGACGGTATATTTGACAGGATGACGTGGATATGACGTCAATCGCAACAATTATAATAACATTCACCTGGCGCGACATTCAATGCAGTATTAACAACAGGAACTTGTAATAATAGTCGGAAATGACGTCCCCCCAAGACCAGCATCACCACGAGTACGTTATCGAGGTCGTCCATGACACCTTTTGTGGCTATACGACTGTGATAAGTCTCCTGAAGGTGTTGAAGAAGGGCGCCAACTTATTAATCATATTATTTGAAATTTCTCAATGGAACTGTTTTAACAAAGTAAATCAGGTAGAGGTGGAGGGAAAGGGGGGCTGCAATATAAAACCTAACCTAACCTAATCTAACTCAACTTGAATATAACCAAACGCAATGGAATATAATTCAAGGCTGACCTAAGTAAATCTTAACCGAATGAAGAAAAACAAGATCGTTAAGTTACTGCACAATAACCTACTTGAAAAAAAATCAGATCACACAAACGAGCAATTTGCTAAATTGAAAATGTTAAAATTCAAGGATATTAACACCTACTGGTGTGCCCTATTTGTTTACAAATGTGCCAGTCACTTGCTTGACAACAATTATTTCCAGTTCCGGAATAATCAGAGATACAACTTAAGGCACCCAGAGCTACTAAGACCACCCCCCATACGCTCCTCTCAGTCCCAGACCTCCGTAAAACATCACGGTGTGAAGGTGTGGGCCAACTTACCCCCACCCATCCCCGCAAGACTACGCTCCCTTCCTTTAAATCATCTCTT